ATTTTACAGTTAAAATAAATGTTTATCAAATAAAGTCTAATGTTACAACTAATCATGAATCCCTTTAACAGTGAAGAGCTCAGCTTCAGTGACACAATGAATGAAGATGAACACAACTGAGAAAGAACATTATTGTTGAATTAAGTTTAAAAGGAGACATATGATTCTTTTAAATCCTTATTTTCCACACTCAGATCATTTAGTTGGGGTCTATATAAAGTGTAACTGCAATTCTTTGGTCTGAATTCGTCCTTATTGTAACTCCACAAGCCCCTCTTCCACCCCTTTTCTGAGGTGCATCTCAGATCATCTCATTTTGAGGCTGTCTCTTTGACCCCGCCCCYTTACAGCTTCTAGAGCGACTCCAAGCAGAAAGAAACAAAAAGACACTACATCTGATGTTTATGGCAAAAATACTTCTCTGTGAAACAAATGCCCAACAGTTGACCTATGATACAGTATATGTAAAATAAATACTGTAGTCTATAAACAAAAGACCCGATCCATCCAAGACTAAAGTCCCAAAATAWTCCCCACTTTGACTTGGAAAACCACCAGTTTTCAACAAAAGAAAACCAAGCACTTTCAACTACACAGGGACGACTCACATCAGCAACTTCTTCATAATGATTTATGTGGCAACCCATTAGGAAGGCGGTGGGAGCCATGAGGAAGTCCAGCATTCCTCTYGCCAAGACCGGAACATACGGCTGCTGCCAGGATAGCGGCTGAGAGAGGTTAGAGCGAGATAAGAAAGATAAGCAGGGTTTTAGAATACTTATAAAAAAAATAATAATAATAATAAAAACAAAATGTGGCATTCGATAGCTTGTTCCTCGAACGWACCTGCAGATAAARCAGCAGAGACTCTGCAACCAGAGTGAGTCTGGCCCAGTCAGACGAGAATAAGACAATTCTCTGTTCTTGGAGGAGGCAGGAGAGCACCTGGAGTAAACAGATCATTTAATGATTTCACCTCGTCCTGCGTGTCATGGCTACTTCAGCCCTCCTCGTTACCTGGAGCAGCGTGGTGGGAGTGAAACAGAGGAGTGGGAGATGAAGGTTGATGTCAATAATGGGACTGTCCTGCTCTTCTCTGGATGGGAGAACCACTTGAAGAGGACGAAGACTGAAGGACTGAAACGCAAAGACTGTTACGATCGATCAAACGAGGAAATTAAAAGGATTATGTGAMCGAGCGGAGGGGAAAGGGGTCTGCTGACCACGTGAAGCTGTCCAGGAGGTGGTAAAGGAATGAGAGACAACTTGGCTGAAAACTCTTTGATCGTTTCCTCAAAGTCATCTTGTCTTGCAGTTCGTAACTGGACCAGCAGACTGAGGAATTGGAGGACAAAGATTAGGCAGAGAATCAYAAAAAAGGTTTGAAAGCATCACTAYCTATGGATTTAAAACAACTTATTACCATGACAGACAGTCTTTCAGGGCGTTGTAATAGGGGAACTTGGAAATGATGCACACAGAAAAGGGAACAAAGAGACGAGACTTCGATGAATTCCACCGATGGCCGTTTTGGACAGCACCTTCCAGAGAGGACTGAGACAGCAAAGSACCAGTGAGAGAAAAATAAAATGGCCTAAAAAAGATTTGTTTTCACTGCAGATGTGTTTATACCTGAACAGCTCTGTAGTACTGCACAACAACTCCATGKGTTCGATTGCCAAAGAGGTCAGTAAAAACCAGGAAGTGATAAGAATCCTCTTTGTGCTCATTGGCTACCTGAAGACCATCTAGTGAGAGAAAACAAAACGCAAGGTAAAATTTCAATGTGAAGCTACAGAACCTCCAAGCTATATGAGGAGGTTAGACCTTTTGAAGTAATTTTTACATAAAAACGGAGAAAAAAAAACAGGAAAAACTTTGTACCAGGACAACAGAGTTGTGGCAAAGCAATGAGGTCCAGATCTTTTGGAACGCTGATGTCCTCCGTAGCCGATGACGCTTCATCACGACTGTTTGGTTCTACGTTATGCAGCGACGGTGCGGCCCGATCTCGCTTCTTCTACAAAAACACATACGAAACCAAACGCTTCAGGAAATTCTCAAAAACATTCWTTTTAGCGCCAAACTTATTCAACAAACAGAACACTAACCTTTTTGATGAAGCTCCTCCTTTTCTGAACGCGGCTGAACGCTGGACCAATGACGTGGCTGGAGTTGGTCTCCTTGTAAACGAAGGGCGGAGCGTAGACCTGCAGTACTTCAGCGTCCAGCAGGGGGAGCTCATTTGTCTTGTTCTGCAGGTGCGAAATGTTAGAAATGTTATTTATTTATTTTTTAGTACATCTGGGGGTGGGGGTGTGGGTGTCAGGGTCTTTATTCCCATCCCGTTCCCCGACTGCCATTTGGGGAGGGGGTCCTGATGAAGGGCGGACCGCCAGGTGCGGTCCTAGGCTGTGGGTGGGCTCCGGGCTTGGACGGTTGCCGGGGGCGGGGCTGGCTCTCCATCCTCCCTGGTGCTGCTTGGTCTCCTGAGGTGTGGCTCTTGGTTCCTGTGGGTGGCCCCCTGGCCGGGGTGGCTGCTGGGTTCCGGGGGTTGGACGGCTGGGGGGGTGCACTTGGTCATTGGCGGTGTGGTCATGGGTGTGGCTTCGCTGCGGCGGGGGGCTAGCCGGGCATCCTGGTGCGGCCAGGGCCGGGTCTTGGCTACCTGCTTCTCTCCACCTCAGAATGATTGGGTCTGCCTCCTGGGTTCGGGTATGTGCTGCCTCCAATAGGGGGTGGATG